TTATTGAATCTAAAATGTTTTTCATTAAAATCGTCCTGTTCATTTCATCAATATGATAAGTTTGTATTACTTCTTCGTCGTATGTCAAATCTGGAAAAATTAACTCTAAATATTTCTATATACGATCAAAATCGAGTCATTGATGTCATTGGTGGTACTTATGTTCAACGTGATATTTTGGATTATATGCTACAACTTCATTCCTTCACTTTCTATATTTGTACTTATGTTGATCCGGCTACTTTATCCTACAAGTTATCTAATGCAGATATTCGACAAACATTAACAAATATTGGACTACAACATGTCAGTAGTATGGTGAATTATTGTACTAGTATTGTCAATTATGTTTATGGTATCCGGGCTGCATGCTCAATTTTCTCACTTCCTTTTGAATTTGATTACATTCGAGATCTTGGTAATAACTTACCAAATATTGTATTTAGCTATGTTACTTATTTACTTATACACGATGTTATTCGATTCAAACATGAATTCTTCATGCGAATTGCTCGATCGTTTCCACTACTGAAACATTTATGTGTTTGGAATAAAAAACCACAAGAATTGGGTGGTCTTGTGACATTTTCATCTAACAATTGTCAGTTCCAGTCAATTATTAAATACCCCCATTTGACTATACTTGATGTCAAATTTGCACATAGCGATTATGTTGAACAATTTCTAAATGAAACAAAGACACTTGTACCTTGTCTGTCGGAATTGGAAGTCTTTGTTAATCATTTAAAAGCTGTGACAAAAGATTTTACTAGAGAAGATTTGTATGCTAGAATAAAAGTTTCAAATAAAGATGAAACAATTCATGTTGAAATGATTGGTGTTATTCAAAGTATATCTGTAGATTTTCTATTAACGAAAAAAACGAAATTAATGAAAGTTTCTTTTCTTAAGAAGGGAGTTTGCACTGTACATTTCCCAGATAAAGATCGTCATGTTGTTATTTTAATTGAACAGATGGAACTAGTGACACCAAAACAAAACGATAAAGTTATTCGATAATTATTTATCTATTTTTTTTCAAACGAATCGATTTTTTATTTAAAAGATTTATGTCATTGATGGAGATAGTAGGGAACTGCAAAATCACTTTTTTTGGTCCCGGTCCCGGTCTTGATAAAAGCTTAAGAATAATTCTGGTATTGTCTTCATCTTTGCAAAAAAAATATGCAGTTCACGAAAATTCTCGCTTTTTCGGTTGTAAATTCAATCTATACGGTTTTTCTTGAACTATAAAATAACACAATTGTCAATTCTTAATTAAAGAGAAAAAGAAGAAATAAGAAAATGTCTAGTCTCATACTTGATAAAAACATTGAGGAATTAGCTGACAATTTTAGTCTTGGCCCCGGTTCCGGTCCCGGCAGGACTGGGACCGGGATCACTTTGCAGTTCTCTAGGAGATAGTGAAACTTCATTGGATGATTTACTTTCAGCTGATAATCAAGATGATGCTATTCAACTGCATGGAAATATTTTCGATAATGATATATCATTTATTAGTCTTAAATATTTATGCAAATGTATCTGATCTCATTGTTGTGTGTATGTGTGTTGTTTCTCGCTTTCTCTTCATCTTTTTTTTTGTTGTTTAGAAAGACTTCAAAAAATAAAAGAAAGAGTTGATTAAAATATTAAATAAAAAG